GTATATGTACCATATCTTCTTAATCCCCTCATCTGACATTGGGCATCAGGTTGTTTCCATAACTTGGCTATTGTGAATAGTGCTGCAATCAACATAAGAGTGCACATATCCCTTCAAATTAGTGTTTATGGAGTCTGTGGATAGATAGCTAGGAGTGGAATTACTGGACTGTATGATACATCTATTTTAAACCTACACTTCTGTGGACAGTTAACTAATGACAAAGGAGCCAAAAGTATCCACTGGAGAATGGAAAGTCTGTTCAAAAAGTAGTGTTGGGAAAACTGGCCAGCCACATACAAAAGAATGAAACTAGACCACTCATGTCATACACAAAAATTAACTCAAAATGATTAAAGATTTGGATGTAAGACCTAAAACTATAAAATACATAAAAGAAACAAAGGCTAAACACTCAATAACATTGGCTTCAGGGATATCTTTGACTTAAAGACTTGTTGTTTAAGCGCTTGACTTATAAGGGAAAAGAAAAACAGACATAAATAAATGGAACTACATCAAACTAAAACTCTTCTGCACAGTGAATGAAGTTATCACTAAGACAAAAATCCACCCTACTGCATGGGACACTAAATTTGTATGTCATGCATCTGACCAGGGTCTGATCCCAAAGATCTAGAAGAACTCATAGAACTCAACAACAACATCAAAAGCCAGTCAAAAAAATTGATTGGGATAAGAGCTAAATAGACACTTCCCTAGAGAAAACCTATAGATGGTCAACAGACACGTGAAAAAAATGCTCATCATCACTTATCATCAGGGAAATGCAATTTAAAATCATAATGAGATACCACTTCTCACCTGTGAGTATAGCTCATGTCAAAAATATCAGAAGCAGCAGTTATTGTTGAAGCTGTGGTGAGAAAGTCCCCTTGTGCACTGTTGGTGGGAATAGAGATTAGTCTAGGCCCCATGGAAAACAGTATGGAGGCTTCTCAATACACTATTATTTTTAAAAATATATTCAACGATATTTTTCATAGCACAGGTTCTGGTTTGTGATAAAAGTTCAATGAAAATATTGTGTAAAATAATAGTATTGACAAAATGTGTGACAATGTATTCTGAAGCATGGCTAATAAAAATGGAGGTAGGGAGTTGTGAAGGATAAAGCTGCTCTCTGACCACTAACAAGATGATTAATACAGAGAAATTGTTGTTGTCAAGTGCCTAGAAATGGCTCATGAGAGAATTTTCTATGAAACAAGTTAGATTTTTCTCCTGGAAATCAAAATTGGAAACGTACTTGGACACAGATGATCAGCAGCTTCTGGAATTCTATTTGTGTGAGTGGCAGGTGCTTGGAAGTTAAACCCCTGGGTTTAAATTCACAGTGTTATGTGCTTGTCAAAGTATGCAGCTGGGGAAACTAAGTCTAGAAGCAATTAGATGTAAGTCTCATTAGTGCCCACTGGTCTCTCACTAATTGTGCAGAGTGGGTGATCTTGGTGTAATTTTAAGACCACAGTTCAATACATATACTTAATTGTTGAACAAAAGAAAGAAAAATTATATGTTCTTGGAAATTTAGAATGTTCCAGAGACTTGGAAATTAGGAGGGTGGCAGTTTCATGGGTGGTGTCAGTAAGACATCAGCTCAAGTGTTAGAATTTCTTGTTGTAAAATAATAAAGTTTTCTTATCTATCATCCTGAATTTTAAATATAATTCCAAGCATAATTGTAGCACTAAAGTCTGTTGTTCCCACTGTTGAATTTTACTATTTGTTTACGAGAACTTCATCATACTGCTATCTATTTAGTAAATCAATCTTTGAGTTGCTTTTTATAAATTTACTTGTTTATTCATTTGGTTAGACAAAATAATAGCTCCTCAAGGCTATCCATATTATAATCTATGAAAGTTATGAATATGTTACCTTATGTGGCAAAGGATAATTAAGGAAGCAGATGGATTGAAGTTAATCAGTTGACCTTAATAAAGAAATCACCAGATGGATCCAATATAGCCATAAGCATCTTTAAACATAGAGGAGAGACAGTAGACTAGATCAAAGAAATGCAGTGTCAGAACTATTTAACCCATAAACCTGTCCTTGAGGAGGGGCGACTGGGGTGGAGCATGAACTGAGGAACATAGGTGACTTCTAGAATCTAAAAAACCTAAATGCCCAAGGACAGAGGAGTGTATCAGAAAACTACACATATATAGATATGTGTAGTTATATAGAGATATATGATATGATGTATCACAAACACATGTATATATATAATGGAATACTACTCAGTGATAAAAAGGGTAAATTCCTGCCATTTACAACATGGATGAAACTGGAGAGGAAAATACTAAGCAAAATAAATGAGAAAGAGAAAGGTAGTTTCACATGTGGAACAAAGACAAACATAACAAACACTCAATCAAAACTAAACAATAATAAATTCTTAACATCTGAATGATTAACTGAGGCAACCAGATGGGAAGGTGGTGGGGTGAGATTAGGGAAGGGAAGGGGTCCAATGAAACATGATGGATGATTGTTGAGGCTTTGGTGGTGGGAAGGGTGTGAAAGTATGTATTCGTAAAGGTTTGAACCTATAAACCCTGGAGCATACACGAAGATGTAAGCTTTACCTCAATAAACATAATTCGGCATGAGGGACAAGGCAAGAAAACACGTACAGCCTCTAAAAAGGAAGGCAGCGCTGACAGCAGTTTGCTTTTAGCCAAGTGAGATCATCTGACTTCCCAAAGAACTGTGAGAGAACAGATTCGCATTAAGTCAATCACTCAGATGTAATTTGTTATAATAGATAATAACAGAAAACTAAGAGACTAGTAGATTCTGGAAGTCAGAAAACCACTTCTGCATCTAAAACCTGGAAACATTAACAGAGGAGTTTTCAGCTTGGCCAAAAAGCTACAGCTGTTTCCCAGCGCTGTGCTAACTTTGCTTATGTTTGGAGGATGGAATTTGATAATTTCTCTTGGTTGAACATTTTGGGCATGAAACCGATGTGGATCATTAAAATTCATGAGCAGACTGCTTACAAAGTAGTTTACTATTTACCATCTTATTATAATGGTTAACTTTTTTCCAATTTTATAAAATTAAACATTTTCCCCCTTCTAACTTTATAAGCACAATGACTATTGTGTAAACATGGTGGAGGAGAAGAAGGTGGGAGATGAGTAACAGGGGGACACATGAGGGAAGAGAGGCAACAAGAGAGAATGGTGCAGGTGGATGAAATAAAGAAGTCTTACTCTGTAGCTCTACAGTAATGTGTGCCATCTTGTAAAATTCCATTGCCTTCTCTTCTATGTTTCCATTTCTACCTCTGTAGAACGATCAAGTTGACTCTGATGAACTTTACAACTCCTTTTATATTTTACGACTTTTATAGAAAAAGATAAAGAGAGCATGACGAGATGACTGAGATATAAGTCTGGGTGTTTTGCCAAGTCTCTGATTCTCTGCATTCCATTTCTAAATTTTAGGGACGTTGAAGACTCTTATAAAGAAGTGGAAAAATATTTGAGCACTGCTTCTTATAAATAGTGGTCACGACTCCAGTTATTATCACACTATCTATGTTAGTACCTTACCATTTTGTAACACTTGGGTGCAAGAGAGAGGTGTTATAGATAAATATCCAATTTTATTTCAAAAGACAACTGAAAAATTCATTTTGGTGATACTAACATTTTCTATAGGTTGGCAAAGAACCCAGGTAAAAATTCACTGCTGAGCCTAGTCCCACCTTATCTGAAATTGTTGCCTGTCTTCTTATAGAAATGGAGATCATTTGAACAGATTGAAAATAGTAATTGACCTAAGGGATTTAGGCAATTAAACAAAATATGAGACATTTCCTGCACTGTGATTAAACGAAAGCTCATAGGTGCTCTTTTTCTACAAATTCACACCCACACACTACTTTTTTCAATTTTATATCCTTTATGCAAAGGTCTCATCATCCAAATCTAAATTTTATTTCTATATTCATCAAATTTCTCAGATACAAAGAGCCTTTAGAGATGAAGTTTCATATTGTGAGAGTCAGAATGTTCAAACCACTTGGGATTTTCAGTAAGAGAAAGACTACACTTAGAATCTGTGGGCACCTCAGAAACACTGCTTAAGGTGGAGTAAATGTCTAAATCCAGTGAAAATTAGAGTATAGCCCCTGAAATTTGCACATTTCAAGCCCATTAACAGAAACAATGACATCAATCCTAGGTGACAGATATTATAAATAACATTAACAGCATATTTGAGTAGCAGAATGAGGAGTTTATTAAAATTAAATGATTTGACTTTCCATCTATTTTTGAGGGAAATGCAACACTATAAATTATACCAATAATGAAATTTTAATTACTCATTAAGTTTTTAGCTTGACAGAGATAATCTGTCAGCCAGAGATTGAAGGCTGAGGAAGTAAAGAGTTGCCAGTGATCAGGGAATAGTAGGATGTTTTCAATGAAGGATGAAGATAATAGATAACCTTATTTTTCTACACTGAAAAACACAGAATCTGCATATCTCAAATGAATTTGGCCTTTCTACAAATTAATCAGTAGTACCCATATTACATATTGGGCTGGTAACAACATGAACAGATACCTCTGGAGGGAAAGGAGTTGGGTGGTAGAAATTGTTTCTACAGCTCAGAGAAAGGAAACCACAGTTTCCATATGCAAGGATCTGAAGCCATGGAATCCACACTCCCATAAGTAGCAGCTTCTAGCTTCATAGAAAGAGCAAAATAAGAAGATGAACAATATGTTTGAATGCCAGAAAAGATAAATTTATTAAGTTAAATTTTTCATTTTCCAGTGATCTTCAATGAAATTCCAATAGCATACAATATATCAATTCGATAGTTCTTCAAACCTTGGGTTACACATTCACTTCAGAGACTTCCAATTAAGAATAAAGGCAGTGATTTCTGGGAATTTCAATGGTGGCTGTGCCAATAGGGACTGGACCATAACAGCCAAAGCAATCTGGAATCTTAGCAAGTTGACTGGTAGAAGCTGGATCCACAGGTGGGCTTGTACCACGATGACTGGCAGCTTCTGGAGGCAAAGTAGCTTGGATAGTAGAAGCTAGACCCATAGCTCAGGGAAGGAAAGCCACAATCCCCATAACCCAGGGATCTGAAGCCATAGGAGCCAAAGAATGGCGAGTAAAAACTTCTGGGTCCACAGCCCAGGGAATAATAGCTTCTGGGTGCACAGCCCAGGGAGTAATAGCTTCTGGGTGCACAGCGCAGGGAGCAGCTGCTGTTGGACCTGCAGCCCAGAGACCTGGTGTAAGTGGTCTGGCAGGGACTGCAGGGCACGGAGATCCTGGGGCGGGAGCAGGACGTCACGCAGGGGCTGGACACCACGCAGGACGTCTGGCAGCTGGAGGGCTCACAGCAGGTCTCCTGGCAGCCAGTGGAGATCTGGTAGGTGCTGGGAGAGCAGAGGTCAGTGGTGTAGACCAGGTTGCTGGGGTAGGAAGAGCGACAGGAGGAGACTGGGTAGCTCACGTAGCCTCCGCAGGAGCGGGAGGAGAAGTTTCTAGAGCAGCAGTTGTAGGGCATGTTGACAGGAGATGTGAGTTCAGTTGAGTACAGAGAGAAGATTCTGAGTTTTATGTTCACCTTCTGGACAGTTGCATATATATACTCTTGGCAGTAGGTGTGGTTGTCTACAGGGTCACCTTTGTCATATTTCTGCCTCCTCATTAACATATGTGTAACTCAGTAATCGTCTCTGTAATTGCAGTTGCATAGCTGTGCATGTATTATATTTACAGGGCACTATAATGTTAGTGTAGCAGCACGAAGCCAAGGAATTACTCCTATATCAGAAATGCGATGATGATTTCATGCTACTGCTTATCCCATTGCATCCAGGAAATTCTCTCTTTCCTCCTTCATAATCTTTATGGGTCTTGCTTCTGGCCGTGATGGGCTAATACTTTTTTCAAATGTGAAAAATGAGATGAAATTATATTCCTTCTTGGTCACTGGATCTTAGTGAGGAGCCTACTAAAGATTGACCTGGCTCATCACCATTTTTTCTCATTCTGCAAAATTACTGTCCATCTGTTACATTCTATTGCATAGTAAGTCTCAGATCCAATGGAGAGGAAAAAATATGAGCCAAGATAAATGGAATATCATTGATAGCTTGAACCAGAGAGAAACTCCAACAATGATTTGGAGACAATGACAGAGAAGAGCAGAGTCTGTTAACCTTGGTTTACAACACTGTTCCAATGGATACCAGTTTGAGATCTTCTGAAGAGAATCCAAGAGCTAAGCCCAATACTGAAATGAGGGGGGTGGGGGAAGCAATTGGGATTTAGAACCAAAGCAATGGGGCTTATATATCAATAGATTCTCTTTCCTATCATGTGACAACTCTGAGAATTTGTTTCTTAGATCTTCAACTATAGGAGGCTTCACTGACCAGAGATTCTACATGCGTCGTTCTAGAGTCTAACACTGCAGTGGAAGGCTTTCCATGGGCTGCTGCTGAGCCTCAGAGCACAGCAGAGATATCGGAGAAGCTTGCTCCTGGGATGCCAGGGGCTCATCTGGCAACTATGGGCAAAGGAGTCTGTCAATTTCTAATTAATGATAAATAACTATTATTTATTTTTATTTTTTCATTGACATGGTAAGTACTTGATATTTTTTAGACCATTTTTGTTTTTTTTTCCATAACTTTATTAAGGTAACATTGGTTTATAACATTGCATATGATTCAGGGGTACAGGCTTAGACCTCTTCAGCTTAGACCACTTCATCTCACTCACCACTCAAGCACTCATGGTCCTCCACCCTAGGCCATTGGGTCTCCTTCACCTTTGTTTTCCACACCTCACTCCCACTGCATGCTGTGTAGAACAAGCAATATCAACCTCTAACCTTAACTTAGTTTAAAACTGTCAATAAATTCTTAAGTGATATTAACTTAAGAATAATATTAATATTAATATTAACTTGATATTAACTTAAGAGGCAAAGAGAAAACTACCATTTGTCAGAGAATGATCCTTGAACAGATTCTAGAAAAACTTGACAAATTTCATTAAATTTCACATTTTATTTGTACATCTGTGTATCCTATTTAATTCATAACTATTATCTTCAATTATTTTATTTTATTTTATGCAATGTTATTGGTTGGATAGCAAAATAGTGGCTTATTTTAGAATGTATAACATAAGGTTTGGATGCAGGTACACCTTGGGAAATGATTATCAAAATCAAACTGATTACATATCTATCATTTCAAATGGTTAAACTTTTGGTGTGAAAAACCACTAAATACAATAACCTCTCTTAGCAAGTTTCAAGTATACAGACCTCAAGTATCCTGCTGTTCACTAAGTCTCCAGAACTAATTTATCCTATATAATTGAAATCTTGAACCCTTTCACTACATTAATTTAAAGAATTGTGCTTGGCAACAGAACAAAATAGTGGGAAAGAAGTAATAGTGTTCACTTTGCTCACTTGGTAAAGTACAATGCAAAGAGACATTAATTCTGACCTTAAAGAACAAAAACAAATAAATGACTCACTAATAGTTTCTTGAACTATGGGCCTCCCTGGTGGTGCTGCGGGTTGAGCCCCGTGCTGAAGTTCTCCACAGCCTCTGCAGTGCCAGTTCTATTCCCAGCCAGCCAGGGAGAAACCCAAATGGTGCAGCAGACCTCTCCTGTCTCGCCTGCAGTGTCTTCAGTCTGCCTGCCTATTCTGCTCCCTGCTCTGACTCTGGTGAATTCTCTCACCCTCCCGTGCCTCTGACTGTACCCCAGTTCTTGTATAAATAAATCTTTAAAAATATATTTAAAAAAAATAGTTCCTTGAATTGGGTCCATTTTATTCTTTCCAGAGCCCTCTTCCTTCCAGCAGATCTCCATTATAGTTTTATTAGAAAATATAACTGGAAAATGTTGACACCAGCCATGACAGTGTGTTTGCTTGGACCTGCAAAAGAGTTGAATTGGTTGTATTTTAACAACAAATATTTTGTGAATGAACTTATAATTCAATTGGTTATACCCTAAGAATATGATACATCTATCAATTTATCAGAGAAAGTGGAAAAAAGAAAAAGAAAGTGAGCAATCGATACACTCTACAGAGGAAAAGAGAATTGGAAAAGAAGTTTTACGTTTAGGTGGGAGAATGCAGCGTGGTACCTGGTTTTCCAAATGTCAGTCATTCAAAATCTGAGCATTGAAAAACTACAGACTACTAAAGAGGCAGAATCTTTGGACATTGATAAATATAGATATGAAGAGAGATACGAGTTTTCTATTGCTGTTCTAATAAATCACCACAAAGTGATTTTAGAGAACAGCAATGAGTAGTGATGAGGGGCGTCATTATCCCTGGAAGACTCCCATCCAGGTGGAAATTCACTGTACCAGGAAAAAGTTGATGTTATCTCATTTCCAACTCTTAGAAGAAAAACAACCACCAGCAAAACCAGAGGTGGACACACAGGTAGCAAACGCAGGTAAGCATAAGCCAGAGGAAGAGCATTCCAGGCTGTGTTGCTTTCCTGACCATGATGAGATGCAGTTTATGTAAAACAGTCATAGCATATCTGCCATAGGTGTAGTTCATTGGCTTTGGCTGTAACAACAAGATTATAGCACCCATAAACACAATATGTGCAAAACTATTCGAATGCAACTGCAATTACAGAGATTACTGAGTTACACGTACGCAAAAGGTAGGAAATCCAAGGTGGGAACCATGTTTCCATAGTGTGTCACACCCACTGCTTGGAGTATATATAAGCCACAGTGCAAGACAGACATTCAAACTCAGAATCTTCTCTCTGTACTCAGCTGAACTCACATCTCCTGTCAACATGCCCTACAACTGCTGCTCTAGAAACTTCTCCTCCCGCTCCTGCGGAGGCTACGTGAGCTACCCAGTCTCCTCCTGTCGCTCTTCCTACCCCAGCAACCTGGTCTACACCACTGACCTCTGCTCTCCCAGCACCTACCAGATCTCCACTGGCTGCCAGGAGACCTGCTGTGAGCCCTCCAGCTGCCAGACGTCCTGCGTGGTGTCCAGCCCCTGCGTGACGTCCTGCTCCCGCCCCAGGATCTCCGTGCCCTGCAGTCCCTGCCAGACCACTTACACCAGGTCTCTGGGCTGCAGGTCCAACAGCAGCTGCTCCCTGCGCTGTGCACCCAGAAGCTATTACTCCCTGGGCTGTGCACCCAGAAGTTTTTACTCGCCATTCTTTGGCTCCTATGGCTTCAGATCCCTGGGTTATGGGGATTGTGGCTTTCCTTCCCTGAGCTATGGGTCTAGCTTCTACTATCCAAGCTACTTTGCCTCCAGAAGCTGCCAGTCATCATGGTACAAGCCCACCTGTGGATCCAGCTTCTACCAGTCAACTTGCTAAGATTCCAGATTGCTTTGGCTGTTATGGTCCAGTCCCTATTGGCACAGCCACCATTGAAATTCCCAGAAATCACTGCCTTTATTCTTAAATCATCTATTTCTTGATCACCAACTTTTGGAAGTCACTGAAGTGAACGTGTAACCCAAAGTTTGAAGAACTATAGAATTGATACATTGTATGCTATTGGAATTTCATTGATAATCACTGGAAAATGAAAATTTAACTTAATAAATTTATCTTTTCTGGCATTCAAACATATTGTTCATCTTTTTATTTTTCCTCTTTATTTTTAACTTATAGATTTTGCATTCAAGTGTTTGGGAAATTTAAAAACAGATCAATATGTGTCTGGAACCAGGTTTAGGAGTAAACAATTTGATGCATTCAAGCACATGTCTGTTGACATGGAATATGTTTCGTATTGGGAACTCTCATTTACTGGAGATTCATATTTAGTATAATTCAGTGTCACTAAGACTTGCTTGAGAATTGGAGACATGCAATTCTGCTGACAAGGGCAATCAAAGAAATAGATACATAAACTAGAAATTCAAATGACAAGAATACATCCTAATTTATAAGGTGAAATATATACATACATAGACAAAAATTTACCTAAAACTGCAGTATCTGAATTTGGATTTCCAACTAACAGAAAAAATTAACCTTAAAGAGCTCCTAGTTTAGATGTTTTGCTCTCTGTTGGTTGGCATTTGTGCCATGGCCTACCTGCCATAGGTGAGGTTTTTGGGAGCCTTATATCTCACCATGTGTAAAGAGAATCACAATGATTGTGGGTCAAGAGTGATTGGGTTAAGGAACTGTGGGATAACATTTGATTCTGCTCCAAGTGTCAACCTGAATCAAGCTAAGAGCAATAGGCAGTGTTGAGCAAGCATTCATTTCATCAGTCTTAACTTTGATCCCATCTATTATCCAACATGAGCTAAAGTCAATAACTTGAAGGAAGACAGTTCTTCATCCAAGGAGTGGACCCCAGGGAGCAGATAGGGCAATTGAGATAGCTGAAAAAAATTAAAAGAAAGTCTCATAAAGGGTCATATTTTTCAGTTGATTTTATTGTTGGAAGTAGGGACTGAATCTTTCCAGGTCTTTTTGGGAATAAATAAGATGACTCTTGGAATTGTCCACCGCAGGCTCTGATTAGCAG